TTCGTTGACGTAATTTACCGGAATTACGTCTATCGCTTCGGTCAGGTACTGACATAAACATGACGACATAACCTCACTTAAAAATTTGTCACATATCGTTCAATAAAATTAAGATATCACTTTAACATTTTAAGAGAAACTAAGGTAATAGTATATCGGGCTCCAGTAGAACACCGCAGACGTAATAATATGAGTATGTAAGTATAGTAGTTAGCATCTGCAAAGAATTAAACTCTTATCCAAATTAGGTAAATCTATTCACAACTAGTTAAAGAGGTTGGTAACAACCGACCAGAAATCACTTGAAAATTTTTAAGAAACCAATGAAGTAGTGTATCGGGATAAAAGTGGGCATAATAATATAAGTGTGTAATATTAGTTAGGATCTAAAATGAATTGAACTTTTAAATTAAATCTGTTCATTATTCACAAATAAATACAGTAGCTGGAGGTTGGTATAATCGCCGAAACTCGGACGGACCTGAACAGAATGAACCAATGGTATTGAACCACCACTCCACTGGTTTTTTTTCTAAATTCAAATATTATAGCTGAAATTTTGAACGATTGGAGCAGATGCTGGATTATCCGTGCAATAAAGCCCTATTTTATGTGGCGAAATGAAATCCTTATATCTTCAAGGAGTGCCCTTTAAATAGGCTCCATTACGATCTGCGGCCGTGTAAGCGAGAAATCTGTTGTCAAAGATGGTCATGACGGGTAGGCTTCGTCGGTTCAGTCGTATTTTCCGTAATTTCTCTTTTAGAACACCAGGAATGTTAAAAAATTGTAAAAACCCGTGGACACGATAACATGGCGATTCTTTAGGTACCCACTTTTATGGGTCTAAGGTTCACCGTTATCGCGGAGTTTTAGTGACTTTCTCAGGACCCTGGATTCTTGAAATTCAAATTTCCCGGCAAAGTGAAAAGTAAAATTTTCGTCGTTTTGGGTCATTAAGTGCTTATAACTTTTTGAAAACTCAATGGATCTTAATGAAACTCTTCCACTTTGTAGTTCTAATTGAGATGCGTCCGTAGACACCAAGATCGTAGGAATCCGTGCCGTCGTTTGGGCTGCAGTCGAGTTCCAACCGAATCAATTTTCAGATTAAGGGAGTTGCCTGTGACTAAGAGTGTCGGCCACCCGTTTGCTATCGGGACTTTAGTAGGACGTCATTTACCTCGACCGGGGGTGGCTACCGCCACTCTTGATTTTTCCTTCATTTTTCTGAGTTTCACTGGGGGAAAAGAGAGAAGAAGAGGAAACAAAAAAACCTTGCAAAAATTTGCTGTTGAGGCAGGGCAAAAATGTTCCATGTAGAGAGCGAGCAGGCATCCCGCTCTCCCCCCCCCCTTCGGATGTTTTAAATATCTGTTTTACAAAAGGTGATACTAAACAATGAGCATCTATGAAAACATCCTACTCCCACTATTTAGAGCCCATTCAATTAACAGCCATGTCAAGGGAATCTATCCCTACTATGCATGGCTTATGCATGACTTGTATACATATAGTAGGTACATACAGATGCAATTTAAGTAGGATTACGTTTATTGCTATAACTCAGGAACCGCTTGGCGGCCCACAATGAAACTTTGGGAAATGCTTTTTAAGATTATGTAAGGATCACCTACAAATAAAATCGAGATTTTAAAAAATGCCCTTTTTGAAAAATTCAAATTTAAAAATTCAAAATTTTCCAAAGTTTTTCTAATTTTTTTTTTTCAATTTTTTTTAAAAAAAGAGGAACTTCTAGGCTTCAAAACAAGACCTAGTTCAAGTTTTTCTGATGAACCGTTGAAAAGTAACAGCCGTTCAAAGTTTTATCAGTCATAAAAAAACTGAATTTTTTCCAAACTTTGAAATTCCATATAAAATTAACGGAGTGACCAAATGACCTAAAATTTAGGGAATATTTCTTTTTCAATAGGAACTTGCAGCACACCAAGTTTGAACATGATCCAAGAGGTCAAGGTTCAAAACCTCCTTGAGTTGACATGGAATGACCCCTTAGAACCTCTTAAAAATGTTCCAAAATGACTTATTCCTTTCTGAATCAATAATTCACCCCTTCAACTAAACATTTGTGGTACTTTCGATGGTTCCACCTCTTGCATTGAGAAACTGAATCGCCGAGTTCCCTCGTAGTTGGTTGGTGCAACTTCCTGGATACTCCAACTGTTAATTAGTTATCAAAATGTTTTTTGACTGCGAATGGAGTGTAATTTTGTCTCGACAGCATCAGCACCATGCGGATTAAAATTTCAATCAATTAACCTCCATATTTTGCTGCTGGATATTGATTCCATAGCTATCGCCCCTATTGCAGTGCTGTCGAGAACCATATCACAACTGTTAGTATGTTTTATTGAGAAGTTATCTTACATACAGGGTTACCCAAAAGTCACCTACCACCCCTGTAACTTTTTTCTTCCTAATTGAGATCGAAGTTTGAAACTTTGGGAATTTTCCTCGGTTTATGGTAGCAACTTTTTTTGGGGGGCGGGGGCTAACTTTTTTTTTTCAAATGGCAACCCCCCTTTCGTGATACCTCATTCGAAAGATAATAAAGAAAGAAAACTTTTGGTGCAAACCGCAGGTCAAAATGTTAATTTTTGACAAAATGGCGACCGGTCAAAGTTCAAAATGGCGAAAATATGGCATCCCCGTTTTTTATCGGCAGATTGGTCTGAAACTCGAAGTCCTAGGGTTTTTCGGGACGAGAAAAACGATTCTGGCATTTGTTTTCCAGAAATGTCAGTACTTTTCTAAATGGCGGCGGTTAAAATGGCGGCTTAGAGCGGGAAGTGGATATTTAGGCTGCTTATCGTCGGATTTGTATGAGACTTGGCATCCGGGGGTATTTCGGCACAAGAAGAACGAATTTTTCATTGGATTTTTGAAATTTTTAAAAACTTTAAAATGGCGGAGAAAATGCGTATGGCGATGGTGGATGCGGATTCTCCGTTATTTTTACGCCACCATTTTGACGATATTCAGTGTTTCAAAAATCTAATGAAAGATTAATTTCTTTCGAGCCAAAAACCACCAGAGTATTGACTTTTGTGCAAATCCATCGGTAAACAGCCTTGATATGGATTTTCCGTCATCTTCTCTCCGCCATTTTAAAGTTTTTAAAAATTTCAGAAATCCAATGAAAAATTCGTTCTTCTTGTGCCGAAATACCCCCGGATACCAAGTCTCATACAAATCCGACGATAAGCAGCCTAAATATCCACTTCCCGCTCTAAGCCGCCATTTTAACCGCCGCCATTTTGAAAAGGACTGATATTGCTGGAAAACTAATGCCAGAATCGTTTTTCTCGTCCCAAAACCCCCAGAATTCTGAGTTTCAGACCAATCCGCGGATAAAACACGGAGATGCCAAATTTCCGCCATTTTGAACTTTGACCGGTCGCCATTTTGTCAAAAATTAACATTTTGACCTGCGGTTTGCGCCAAAAATGTTCTTTTTTTATTATCTTTCGAATGAAGTATCACAAAAGGGGGGTTGCCATTTGAAAAAAAAATTTAGCCCCCGCCTCCCTTAAGGGGGGCCGCCCCGCAAAATTTTGGGGGGACCAAAAAGTTTCCACCATAAACCGAAGAAAATTCCCAAAGTTTCAAACTTCGATCTCAATGGACCACTAGACAAGGTACGGATTTCAGCATTTTGATACATGTATCGTAACTGAAATTTCACGTAAAACACGATGTGCGCGACAAAAATTACCGCCATTAACTCATAACGAAGATATTTAATGATTCTTGATGCGAGAATTCAAACCACCCGCTCATAAAAACTCAATTCTCTACGTGATTCACATCGCGCGCTAAACGTTTATCATGGCAGTCTCAGCGATATAAAAATCTTGCAACCTCAATCTTGACGCTTCGGCTCAGCTATAGCAAATTGCTAATAGTTTGAACAACACATGGTGAGAAATGAATATTGCTCGATTGAGAAGCTTGCTGAAACCGTTGAAGTGCGCGATTTGACTCACGTAGAGTTATGAGTTTCTTGTGAGCGGGCAGTTCAAATTCCTCGTAACCAATGTGAAATAAAAATAATATCTTCGTCAGGAGTTGGTTTCAGTCATTTCCGTTGTGTGAATCGTGTTTTACGCGAAATTATGGTTAAGAAACATGTATCAGATTGCTTAAATTCGTACCTTGTCTAGTGGTCCATTAGGAAAAAAGTTACAGGGGTGGTAGGTGACTTTTGGATAACCCTGTATAAAAAGGTTGTATTAGTGAGATAATTTCTTTTGTATGTGAACAAATACTGAATGTCCAGAATTCGAAACATCTGACTGTATCTCAAGTATCTGTAGGAAATATTTGTCAGGTCAGAGTTTGTAAATCCTTTGCAGTAGTTAATGAATTTCCCCTACGTAACAATTTCGCTCAATAAAGTTTGGTAAGTGCAGCTCAGATCCACCATATTATGCTTATAATTATTAGTCCAAAATCAGTTTGAGTAATGTTTTGAAGGTAAAGTGTTCACTTTCCTCTGAAGTTTGTGAGCAGGGGTGCAATTTGCGTATCAGGCGTGTTAAAATGGTCATGATATTTCAATTAAATGTCCGATCATTACTCATCTTTACCATTGATCCAAAAAAAAGAGCAATTTCCCTTCCGGTCTAAAGTCATTATACTCCTAAAATTTGGAGATGTCTCAAAATTTGGTTTCCTAAACATTTTAAAAAATCAATTGGCTACTTCATAATTATTTGTATAATTTAAGCATAATCTCCTCTCTCTCGGCTCTTTTTGAGAAAAAAGATAATAAAAATTTGGCAATTAACAACTGAGAACCTGCATATTGAAAAAAATGTTGACAATCCTTTTTATAGGCTGCTACTTTGAATCAAACATGACTTTGAAAGTCGCTCTATTAACCAAAAATTATATTTCATCATATGGTCTGACCTTCGAGAGCTGCAAAAATACATGATTTTGCAGTGCACCAACTATATTGAGTGCCATTGGCAGTGTTTCATTCATAGGATTTATTTTTTTTTTCATTTTAGCACGTGATCATAGTTTAAACAAACAATGGGAAAACCAAGCTCCAAGTTTGACGTGACGTGGAATAACAGTGTAAAATTTGTAAGTACAGCATTGATTATTTTATTTTAAGCACAAGATTGCAGCGAGTTTGAACTTGGCTTGCCATCATATTGTTGCAGACTCATTTTTCCACAATTTTTATAAGACTGAGGAAAGCTCGCAGATTGCAATCCGAGTTTCCAGCGATACTTCAGGAAACAATTCATGTGGTGTTTTACAACTTCAAAAGAAAATTTCAAAGAGGGATCGAATGATTTAAAGTCCTCCGAGTCCTGTTTAGTTTCACTAACTTGAAGGCGAATTAAAATTATTAATTTTAAATGGCAATTCCTTCATCAGTTGAAAATTGCTCTATAACATTAATTTTGTTTCCTAATGCATAAAATTATGTTCTTATAATCAACTAGCTTGATGTGGACAAATAGTATGATCATCTCTGCACACTTTTGTGAATTTATGTTGTTGCCGACAAATGCAATGCCAACTCTTTTCATGGATTCCTGATGTGCTTTGGATCCACCAACAATGGATGAACATTACATAGCCTTCTAGTTGTATATATTTTAGGCTTTGACTCGTAAATCCCTACAGGCCGAGTCTTGTGGTTATTCTTGAATAACTGAAGAAGTGAATCGTGAATCCTATCGTCACTCCATGGAATGAAAATGTTGAGGACAGAAGTTTTTTTTTTTTTTTTTTTTTTTTTTTTTTAAGATGGTATCACCTCCCATAACCCAGTCAGAGTAAACCCATCTCGAATTTGTTCCATCGCAAGTCCAATCTCACTAAAGAACGTTAGGGGTCGAGGTGTGACAAGTTCTCCTCCAGCACCATACATGACCAAATTAGAAGACAAGTCTTTGATTGAATCTTCAAATTCAGGCTCCTCTATCTCTTCCACTGAGGGAGTCTCTGGCAATGGTGGCTGAAATAAAGAAGCAGTTATTTTACAAGGTGGATCCTGACCTGATTATTAAAGTTCTGCATTTGTTGACTAGACAAGATAAGACTAAGGAGGAAAGGGGCTACGTGATTGGTTTGCTTTGTAATTTATTCTCATAGTCGTACCCACGTTGAGTGGATTTTAACGACAAACTATTACAATTCGAGAGGTGGCTTTAACTTCTTATCAATTCTACCCAACCCACTGTAGGAATCAAACTGAATAATATTTCTCGTCTTAATTTTTCAATAATTATTGTGTCACAGCATAGGTTTCAGTTTTGAATAAATTTTACTGAATTAGGCTAAAATAGTCAACTTTAAGGCATGTGAGAGACCTCTAAAAATTCGAATTTTGGGCCGAAATTCTTTTGATGTGTTTTTCTGCCATCAAACATATTCACCCCAAATGAGTCACACCCTAGCCACCTTCCATCCAGTGACACAAATTTAAATATCCCACCTAGCAAAATTTGAAATCTATGTATCAATCCACCTTTCCATTAATAGTTTGAGTTTCACAAACCTGGTTTTGTAGCACAAAATGAACTCCTAATTCAGGGTTCTTAGAGTGGATTTTGTGTAGCTGGGCAAGTTCATGTGCAATTTTATGTAATTTTTCACTGGGGTCTATATGAAACCCCAAGATGTAACCTCCGCTGTTGATGGAGCTTTCCACAACTAAAGCTGGACCAAATTTTGAATCCCTGATTTTAATCTGTAATATAGCACATAGATGCAAGGGATATAGTCATTTTTAAAGAAGGAAGTAAGTTACATCGAAGAACTTTTGATGAATGTTGAAACATTCAATTGGTTTTGAAATTTCATCCGGCAGAAATTGAAAGTTGAATGTTTTGATTAATTCCTTTAGACATCTGCCATTTTTTAACATTCTTTTCAAATTGCATCATGTAACAATTTTTAGCTTACTCTACTACACATCAATTGCTCCAAGTGTCTCAAGATGCAGGAATGATATAAAAAGTCAAAGGGCGCTTTGATCAGAATCTAGCCGTAAAATCTTGCCGAAAGATACTGAAATAAACTATTTTCAAAGTCATTCACACTTTAAAGATAACCTCCCTTTTTCATTCTCGGAACTGACCGTGCTAAGTTTGGTGAACCAGTCTGATTAAATTTCGGTGAAAGTTTGTCCATTTAGACAAAGCAACAACAGTGGTCTATTATGAACAAGAACCTGAATTAGAGTGAAAGAAAAAAACAGGATCGCTCAAGTTGATAGTGATTGAAGTTCTTAATGATATGACTAGACAGATGAGAATACTTACAGATATAATTTGAATGTGAGGCACGGAGACATTGAAAGCCTCATTCATGGCAGCGAACCATACCAGCCGTACATTGGAAATTATAAATTTTCCCAAGTTGCCCTAAAAGTAAGAGGGAAAAGATGTTTTTTGTAAAACAAAGAATTCACAAATGAGTCGTGACAGCATATGTATGCGCATGCCAAATGAAGCTTTAAGCTTGCTCGACGTTTATTAAATGGCCGTGAAGAAACATGACATCAGGAAAAACGAAGGGAATGTGAGGCAAAAGGAAAAGAATATCCATTGAGTTGGGATGGTAGGAGATTTCAGTGAGCATCGTGATTTGTGAGTTGGAAGATATTGCAAAAAGGATGATGAAATGAAAGCAAGTGAGCAGAAGTCTAATTTCCAGTATGATGGGAAATTATTTCTCTTGTACAGATTCTCAAAGACATATCTAGAGCCCAACTTACCTGATCACTGGACAGATTCCAAACTCCTTCTACTGTAGCTATAACGTGCTCCAATGGTAATGTGTTAAACTCTTTTCTTTGCACTGCACACCCCCTTAGTTTCAGCTCACGATACATTCGAGAAGACATATATGCTCTGCATGGAAAAAAATCACTGTTAAATAATGAGCTCTCACATATTTTTATATTTCTAGCTTTCTGTACAAACTTATTTCAATCTTTGAAAAGAGTTTTTGCTGCTGACCTCTGCATATTAATTATACTCTCCCGTGCCAAAGGTACCTACAGAAGTTCTGAAGAGAATCTAAAATCCAAGAAATACCTTCTCTTTTGAAGTGAGGTTAACAATATCACACATTGATCCTCAAGCCCATCATGATCCACTTGCATTATACTCATTTAACATCGTTTGTGATGGGAATTCATTTCATATTACAGATATATGCTTTTCTTTTTATGTATATACCATGCGACTGTGTGCGTGTGAATTGAGATGATGAATTGGAATGAAAAATGCACGTGCAAGGTGTGTCTTGCGCCCACAACCATGCCTCAACCTCAGTTCCTCGGTGTGTATGGTGCGAATTTAGACTCCTCTGCTTCTCCGCTGCTACAAATACAATACACACGCAGATAGATGGGCTCTTCAGAACACATTACCCGACTCCTCTACGTTCAATCGGCCAGAAACGGCGTGGCAGACAGACACCTTGTTAACTCAATCACCATTCGAATACTATATTTTGTAAGTAACATGAATATTGGGGTGAGCCCCTCCACCGACTTACGGAGCCGAATGACAGAGCTCAGTCTTGCCAAGTGGGATGGCTTCTCTTCAAATCCTCCCAGACTTAATGTATACAGGGTGATCCAAAAGTCCCTTCCACCCCCTCTAACTTTTTACCTAATTGAGGTAAAGATTTGAAACTTGGGGGATATTCCTAGATCAAAGGGAGCTACTTTTTGGCCCTCTAAAATTTTCAGGGGGGCCCCCAACTTTTAATTTTCAAATAGGAAGACCCCCTTTGTGATAGCTCGTTCGAAAGAGCATAAAAAAAGAAAACTTCGCGCAAACCCGAAGTTAATATCTCAAACCGTTTCAAAATGGCGGCCGGTTAAAGTTCAAAATGGCCGAAAATTCACACCGGTTATTTGTCGATGGATTTGCGCGAAAATCGGTATTGAGGGGTATTTTGACACGAGAAAAACGAATTTGACGTTAGATTTTCAAAAAAACCGAAATTTCCAAAATGGCCGCCGGTTAAAGTTCAAAATGACCAAAAATTGATTTTTTTAGAAATCTAAGTTCAAATTTGTTCATCATATGCCAAAATACTCTCAAATTCCAAGTTTTAGGCAAATCCATCAGCAAAAAACCGAGGTGACAATTTTCGGCCATTTTAAACTTTAACCGGCGGCCATTTTGGAAATTTCGGTTTTATTGAAAATCTAACGTCAAATTCGTTTTTCTCGTGTCAAAATACCCCTACATACCGATTTTCGCGCAAATCCATCGACAAATAACCGGTGTGAATTTTCGGCCATCTCGAACTTTAACCGGCCGCCATTTTGAAACGGTTTGAGATATTGACTTCGGGTTTGCGCGAAAAGTTTTCTTTTTATGATCTTTCGAACGAGCTATCACAAAGGGGGTCTTCCCATTTGAAAATTAAAAGTTGGGGGCCGTTGCCCCCCCCCCCCAAGGGGGGCCCCCCTGAAAATTTTAGGGGGGCCAAAAAGTAGCTCCCTTTGACCTAGGAATATTCCCCAAGTTTCAAATCTTTATCTCAATTAGGTAAAAAGTTAGAGGGGGTGGAAGGGACTTTTGGATCACCCTGTGTAAGCAGAATGCATGAGTACATTACATAAAAATTATTCTCAAATGCCATGAGATTTTTCAGTGTAAGCATCCAAAAAAAACTGTAACGTTGAAACAAGTCTAATGAAATGAATTAGAAAGCCTCCACGTTTTACAAGTAGTTTAGTCAATCTCTAAAGTCAGTCTCAGTGGTGTAGCAGTTCGCTGCCAGCAGTGAGGCACAGGGTTCAATCCCCGGAGGTGGCTGATAAGTCATCATGACCATGGATGACTATGCCCTCTCTAACATTCTGACCCTTCAAGATGACTGGTGTGGAAAGGACACAGTCTCCCAGTAAGAAGTCTGTCTGCCCTGTTCGACTGGTGCTAGAATCACATGCTGAATTTAGCAGCTGAATATGTAAGTCAACAGTCATCGCTCAACGGCTGAAATTTCGCAAATACGAATTATTTTGATCCAGATTTGTATCAAATCTATCCAAATAGTTCAGACAAATCCGACATTATCTGATGGTCGCTGAGCCTCTTTGCTGAATTTTGCGCGACATGCTCCGAAAATCTGTGCTCTGTAGCGTCTGCTACAGTCTTTGATAAGACTTACCGTTTGCTATCAGACAGCGGCTGAGTCCTGCGGGAATATAGAGTATACAGAATAAGTCAGTAGTATAAAGTTAAGGAGCACGGTTTAACTTTGGAGTGCATGACGGCAGGGTTCTTGCCAGTTGCCTCGGCCCCTTGAGGGCGCCTCGCTGGTCAGCCCGGCCCTAACTTACTTACTTACTTAGGTACTTACTCCATACTTACTTCCTTAGGTACTTACTCCAAACTTACGTCGTCCATCTGTAGGAAGTGAGAGATCATTGAACAGAAAAATCGTGCTAGAAACAGCCCCAGAACAGCGCGTCTGCAGGTCTGGAAGTACAGTTAAAGCTCGCTATGCTCGCTATGCTTCGTCATAACCACGGTTATGACGAAATGCCACTTAAGTCGAATTTTTTCTGGTCCCTCCACAATTCGACTCAACAAGCTTTCGCTGTAGTACTGATTTATTTATTTTTTTTTTTTTAGGGTGGTCTAGAAGTGCTGAAAAAGTTCGAAAATTCCCCAAGAAGGTTCGGAAGTTTTCGTCTCATACAACGCGTGATTTTTAATGAGACAGCCTGGGAAGTATGTAATCCCTTGCACGTTGATTCATAGTAGAGAATTTACCCACTAGACCGCGATTGTGCAGCCAGTTGATCTTCAGACCGCAAATGAGCTTCGAATTTCCTGGTTATATCATTTCTGTTGCAATCTGGGCGTAAATTCTAAAAATGTTTTAAATTTTGGCACCCAAAAGAGCTGAATTTTTCTGTCAAGGGGGTACCATATTTTTTGAAGTCATGAAAAAGTACTGCAAAAGTAAGGAGCCAGCCGGTTTCAGTAAACACCCTGAGGAGAAGCCAGTGCTCCAAGCACAAGAGCGTTCAAAACAGTATCTCAAAATCTTCATTCCCTCATATTAATTTTCTGGTGAAAATATTAATTGCATCCTTGGCCAGTTGCTCTCCACCCTCAACCATTTAGTCAAGTGAACGATTTTCATGATTTTTGCTTCTGTATTGCTGTTCAACGGTTTACGTCCAGTGCCTCAAAGGTGTTCCTTGTTGTAGATTAATATATATAATTTCTGAACACATTGACAAATCAAGTCTTGTACGTGATTCCTAGGATCTTAGCACTGATCTTAGCATAAGATGACGACTGATATTCTTACAAGAAACTGCAGGAGCATAAAATATACCAAAATGTGTGGACCCGTACTAACTATGTAAATTCCCCTTGTCTTTTTTTGTATGTGAAAATGCACACCATTAAAGGAGGAGTATCGTTTTGGGCCTTTTCCGGCCCCACCTGGATTTTGCTGAATGTTTCATATTTTCAAAGTACTAGTCCTAGGTAGACTTTATGCCAACTATTCTACCGAACAGAGCCCATGCAAGGGTGCAACATCGCCTCAAACCCAGAATCTTGGCACCGAAAAATAGTTATTTTTTTTTACTTTTTCGACTGTTATCACCCTTCTAGCAGATGATTCCTATGCATTTTTTGCGCACTTACCGTTTCTGGCCTTTTAAAGGCCTCCGATAAATTTTAATTGTTGCCATTTTTGGCCCATTTTTAGGGTTTCTTTCAATTATACACACGTAGAAATCAATTCAAACTAAGAACCGTGTACGTTTTTGAAAAGAACGCAAAAAAACGAATCAATAATGCTCAGTAAAATTTTTTTCTACCTTGCCAAATTTTCGAGAAAAATCGCTCCAAAGAGCCTAAAACGGCCAAAATTCGATAAATTGCCACGCTTTAGGTTCAAGAAAGCGGGGTACAACTTTCATATTGACGTACGTAACAGTTCTTACCTACATATACAACATATTAAAAAATTATAGTTGTACCTGGATTCCCAAGATGTGAAAATTGACTGGGATGTCGATTTCAGCGGCGTTTTTTACTTGAAGGTAGCTCTTTTGAATGTTTTTCGACCTTAGTTACCCTCTATGGGTGTGTACTATATGTATTTTTCTGCGTACTTTTCATATCTGGCCATAAAAATGGCTTCCTGTGAATTTTGAAAGGCCTCACGGTCCATTGTTGCCAATTTTCACCAATTTTTAGAGGTTTTTTCAAGTTTACGTGTGTGAAACTTAATTTAATCTAAAAACCGTGTACATTTTCGGAAAGAACGTAATAAAATACATATATTGGGTGATTGTAACTTTTCCCTACGTTGCCAAATTTTCGAGAAAAATCGTGCTGAAGCGCCAAAAGTGCCAAAAATTGGATTAATCGTCACGTCGAAGGTTTAAGGAAGTGAATTTTGAATTTTCTTTCACTACAAATAACGTATCGAAAATGGAAAATTGCAATTCGTCTCACAGAACATGTAATGGCTCAGATGAACGTGATTAAACGGACCCTCAAGGTGCTTTTACCTTATCCTTCACTCCAGTTCACCTCTCTATTCCTGTAACCTCGAGATAATCCTTGGTTCTCAAGATGCTTGCTAAAGGCCAAATATACAAAGAAGCGCCAAAAATGCCAAAAATTGGATTAATCGTCTTGTCGAAGGTTCCAGGAAGTGATTAATGACTTTCATGTGGATCATGGGACACTTTTCCCACGAAGTTTCTGTTGTTTGGTATATTTGGCCTTTAGCAAGCATCTTGAGAACCAAGGATTATCTCGAGGTTACAGGAATAGAGAGGTGAACTGGAGTGAAGGATAAGGTAAAAGCACCTTGAGGGTCCGTTTAATCACGTTCATCTGAGCCATTACATGTTCTGTGAGACGAATTGCAATTTTCCATTTTCGATACGTTATTTGTAGTGAAAGAAAATTCAAAATTCACTTCCTTAAACCTTCGACGTGACGATTAATCCAATTTTTGGCACTTTTGGCGCTTCAGCACGATTTTTCTCGAAAATTTGGCAACGTAGGGAAAAGTTACAATCACCCAATATATGTATTTTATTACGTTCTTTCCGAAAATGTACACGGTTTTTAGATTAAATTAAGTTTCACACACGTAAACTTGAAAAAACCTCTAAAAATTGGTGAAAATTGGCAACAATGGACCGTGAGGCCTTTCAAAATTCACAGGAAGCCATTTTTATGGCCAGATATGAAAAGTACGCAGAAAAATACATATAGTACACACCCATAGAGGGTAACTAAGGTCGAAAAACATTCAAAAGAGCTACCTTCAAGTAAAAAACGCCGCTGAAATCGACATCCCAGTCAATTTTCACATCTTGGGAATCCAGGTACAACTATAATTTTTTAATATGTTGTATATGTAGGTAAGAACTGTTACGTACGTCAATATGAAAGTTGTACCCCGCTTTCTTGAACCTAAAGCGTGGCAATTTATCGAATTTTGGCCGTTTTAGGCTCTTTGGAGCGATTTTTCTCGAAAATTTGGCAAGGTAGAAAAAAATTTTACTGAGCATTATTGATTCGTTTTTTTGCGTTCTTTTCAAAAACGTACACGGTTCTTAGTTTGAATTGATTTCTACGTGTGTATAATTGAAAGAAACCCTAAAAATGGGCCAAAAATGGCAACAATGGGCCATAAGGCCCCTTAAAATTTATCGGAGGCCTTTAAAAGGCCAGAAACGGTAAGTGCGCAAAAAATGCATAGGAATCATCTGCTAGAAGGGTGATAACAGTCGAAAAAGTAAAAAAAAATAACTATTTTTCGGTGCCAAGATTCTGGGTTTGAGGCGATGTTGCACCCTTGCATGGGCTCTGTTCGGTAGAATAGTTGGCATAAAGTCTACCTAGGACTAGTACTTTGAAAATATGAAACATTCAGCAAAATCCAGGTGGGGCCGGAAAAGGCCCAAAACGATACTCCTCCTTTTTTTTTTATCAAAATGCACTGTTAAACCTATCAATGTATTTTTTGGCATTTTTCCCTGTTAGATTAGTTAAATTATGAATGCTGTTTAGTATTCTGTTTTAAGTGTTGTGTTGAATCCTTGCTTTTTTTTGATAACTGCCAGTAAAAATGTGGCAACCCTGTTACCCCATGCCCCCTTGTAAACCCTCCATTTTCTCTCAAGGGAAGGTGTCCATTATATTCACCATTCTTGGGCTGTAATGTATTACCTACTCTTTTCTTTTCAATTTGTATTTATTGTATCTTTCTTGCCTCATCACCCTCGTCATAAACTTAACTTGACCAAAAATGTCAATAATGATAGAAGTGGCTGTAGTTATTTCAATTAACTATCCGCTTCTAATGGAAAGGAACTTGGTAAGCAGGCAGGAAATTGTACTTTGGTATTTAAGGACACTTCATTGAAAATTCCAACTCCCTTTGCCAGGGCGCTGCACTATGGGTCCGTAGCGGCGCAAAATCCAATTTTTCGACATTTTTTTCCCGTCATCAGAGCCATCTTAATCGATGCCCAGACACCTACTGATAACAAAATTACATGGGAATATCCAAAATATTCACTATACCTGCGGTTTCCACTGGACGCGCCTCTGCCGCGTATTTCCAAGCAAGTTCTGCTGCTGCGCCGCGCCGTCTACCGCACGGCTAATCGCGCCGCGACGCCGACCGCGGCCAGCCTCGGCGACGTTCCACGAGAGGGCGCTCGCGTCACTAAGATAGCTTATGTTTGTTAAGGTCTTTTTAGTTCTATTTATGTAAAGGAAGTGATGATTTTGTCTGGTCCCCAGAGATGAATAAATTCGTAAATAAAACAAAGAAGGTCTCAAGGTTCAATTGTTTTTAGATATTTTATCAGCATTATTTTCTGTTCCTTAAACTCCTATGCCGGGCGCGTTACATCATTTCACCTACGTCCTAAAGTACGCACCAATACAACGGCTATTCATCGCCACTCACGGAGCAGTCAAGGTATCAAGGTTACAACTCCCCGGTCCGCCCGGCGGCGTCACGCATTAACTGAAGGTAAGGTGTTCCCCAGTGTGTCTGGTGTATGGCCAGGTAATCCCCGGTTCGCGTGGCGTATAGTTTTAAGCTCCGATTAGCCCGGAGATTTAGATAGGGACCCCGGTTTGCCCGGAGAGTAGAATAAGGACCCTGGCTAGCCCGATGAACATCAGCATAGGGACCCCAGCTCGAGCCCGGTGCAGCTAGGAACCCCTGCTCAAGGGAGCTGAAGCCAGGCCCGCACGCTCTCGGTAGTTTTTTATCCATTCAAAGGAAAAGTAGGGACTAAGGCCCCTACATTCCTACATCCACGTAGATAGATATGCAGCATGTGGAATGTGATGAGCCCAGATTTCTGCAACCTGAGGCGCGGGTTGTATACTCACTTATTTCACAGTGCACTCGTGAACCTTACACCATTATATGCATCTGACTGGTAAACTCCATTGCATGACGAGTATTTTCGCTTTTGCAGATCCCAAAAATATTGATTTTTAGCTGCAGGGCAAGAGATCAAAGTTTCCCGAAAAATATGCCTTAAAAAATGAATTTTTCAGAATATTGTAGACTGGGAAAGTGTCGTTGCGGTTCGTTGCGCGGTTCTCTTTGGTATTTTTAGAAATCATATATCCCAGAGATACCATATACCAAAAGCACAAACGGTACAAACCGGTACAACCATATTTTTCGGATGCTTTTTTGAGGTGACCTCCAATTTCCGCGAAAATCAGATATGGAGGTTTTAAGGAACCACGGTACACCGTAAAGCGACTAATGAAATATTTCAACACAAATTCGTGTTTTTAAAGGGTTTTAAAGGTTTCTAATAGCATTTCTCGCTCTTTCGATACTTTAGGGTGGAAGGAGGGGGAGGGGGAGGGCGACCAAAATCAGACCGTCAAAAAATGGTCATGGTCAACAATTTTCTTGGGCCCAATAAATAATGATAATTTTTTTACATCCGTTCACGCATTCAGCCCAAATAGGACTGGTTTTAAACCAATTTGGCAATGAATAAGAAAATTCTACCATCACATGGCACTTAAGTTTATAGAGTGAGTTGACTGTAGCTGACACCAATATAACTGATGAAATTTCAACTTCACTGTTAAACTGTAATTTATGCAATGTTGCGTGCTTGAGGATAATATCTTCGGGGTAGAGGAGGATTCTATACAGGGTGATCCAAAAGTCCCTTCCACCCCCTCTAACTTTTTACCTAATTGAGGTAAAGATTTGAAACTTGGGGGATGTTCCTAGGTCAAAGGGAGCTACTTTTTGGCCCTCTAAAATTTTCAGGGGGGCCCCCAACTTTTAATTTTCAAATGGGAAGACCCCTTTTGTGATAGCTCGTTCGAAAGAACATAAAAAAAGAAAACTTTTCGCGCAAACCCGAAGTCAATATCTCTAACCGTTCCAAAATGGTGGCCGGTTAAAGTTCAAAATGGTTACAAATTCACACCGGTTATTTGTCGATGGATTTGCGCGAAAATCGGTATTAAGGGGTATTTTGACACGAGAAAAACGAATTTAACGTTAGATTTTCAAAAAACCGAAATTTCCAAAATGGCCGCCGGTTAAAGTTCAAAATGGCCAAAAATTGATTATTTTGGAAATCTAAGTTCAAATGTGTTTATCTAATGCCAAAATACTCTCAAATTCCAAGTTTTAGGCAAATCTATCAGCAAAAAACCGAGGTGACAATTTTCGGTCATTTTGAACTTTAACCGGCGGCCATTTTGGAAATTTCGGTTTTTTGAAAATCTAACGTTAAATTCGTTTTTCTCGTGTCAAAATACCCCTTAATACCGATTTTCGCGCAAATCCATCGACAAATAACCGGTGTGAATTTGTAACCATTTTGAACTTTAACCGGCCACCATTTTGGAACGGTTAGAGATATTGACTTCGGGTTTGCGCGAAAAGTTTTCTTTTTTTATGTTCTTTCGAACGAGCTATCACAAAAGGGGTCTTCCCATTTGAAAATTAAAAGTTGGGGGCCCCCCTGAAAATTTTAGAGGGCCAAAAAGTAGCTCCCTTTGACCTAGGAACATCCCCCAAGTTTCAAATCTTTACCTCAATTAGGTAAAAA